ACTTTTTTTTTTTTTTTTGGTGGCTGGTTCAGCCTGCCTTGGGGGCAGGGCTGCTGGGGCATGGCCAGGGCTCAAACCAAGGTCCTTGTCCCTGCACATGCCTGAACAGGTGCTTTAGACCACTGAGCTATCTTGCCCACCCCCCCCTTTTTTGGGGGGGTGGGGCAGAACCAGGGATTGAACTCAGACCCTTGCACTTGCCAGGCAAGCGCTTATTCTACTGAGCCATTTCCCCAGCCCCCCTTTTTGTTTTTTGATAAAGGGTCCCACTATGTAGTTCAGGCTGGCCTTGAAGTGATCTTCTTGCCTCACCCTCAATGCTGGTATTGCTACCACACCCAGAACATTTTCATTTCTTTTATAACATGAAAACAAATACAATGAATTCAGGAATTGAAATGGCAAGATTATTTCCATGTCAGACCAAAAATTTGGAGAAAAAAATTTTTTTAGTGATGAAGCCAGACATCGGACCCTTCCTGGCTTACAGATCTTAAGTATCTGGCCAGCATTACAGATCTTAAATGTCTCACTAGCGTTCGAGCTTGCTTCCCCAGTCCTTACAGATCAGAAGCACTTCCAGGTCCTTGTCTCGGTCCAAGAAGCCAATATTTGTAATCCCACAGTTACATTATTGGAATCCTATCAAGTTAATACCGATCTACCACTCCCAGTGCAACCCACAGCAAAAGTAAAGACACTAAAACATATTTGTAATTATTGGGGAGCCAAGGGGCCCTAAGTCCAGCCACGAAGATGGCTTTCCGGAACCAAGAGAGTGACCCAGGGCCTCACCCGGTTTTTATTCAGTGAAGGAGTGACTTGAGGAAGAATAACCAAGAATTGTGGGAAGTAGGTGACTACAGTGAACTGAGCTAGGTGGGTGGCCTACATTTACTTCTGCCATATGCAGAGAAGATATGCAGAAACAGTAATCTGTTTTATGCTAATGAGATAGTATCTAATGTTTTGGAGGGTCTGTTGCTTTAGCTTTGATGTAGTCTTTTAAGCCCCAGGAAGTCATAGCCTCTATCTTGAGGCTCGATCTCAGCTGGCAGTGCAGAATATTAGCTCTTCTGTCTCGACCAAACGCACATTAAAGAGCTGCAGGTGTAGGTTACCAGGGAAACACGCACACCGCCTTCAAAGACTATCACCAGCACCTCAGCTAGACCAGTACACATTGCTTAAGGCCAATTGAAGGATAAACAGAAGTCCTAGCCAGCTAGACCAATATACATTGTTTAAGGCCGAATGAAGGATAAACAGAAGTCCTAGTCAACTCTGTACAGAACAATGCGAGAGAATAGGTCAGGCTCAGTCAAAATAGAGACAGTCGCTCTTCTTTCAAGGAGAGCTGCTCAGGTGGTCCTCCACGCTTGTTTTCCATGGCAGTGGGATTCTTTCTAATTCTGTTTCCCTGCATTTACAATGTCTTAACAAGGATGGGGAAGGATTGAAGGAGTAACAACCTCTTAACAAGGGAGGGGAAGTCTATAAACTAGAGCTTCTTTTGCTAAGATCAAATTAACCCATTTGAGAGCCACCACTCCCTACATGATCATTACACAAAAAACATTTAGTGTGTGTGTATTTAGTACAGGATCTATAGGGTCTTACTACACAGATAAGACTTCTAGAGATCCTTCCTGTTTTTCAGCCTCCCAAGCACTGGATTACAGGCATGCCCACTACACCCAGTCTCAGTAGCCATGTGCTCAATCTCAATAGCCATCACAGCATGCCCCACGGCCGGGCCAGCATAGCACACTTGGGATAGAACCTGGTCCCTGTGTCTGCCTAAGCAGGCATATTAATCTGCTGAGCTATATGGTCAGCCCTCAATTTTTGTATTGTTGAAGTGATCCAGGTCCATAAAAATTTGGAAAATAGAGAATGTGTAGGGAACAGTTTCTGCCATACCCTAGTGGTAACTGTATTCTATTGAAGGCATTGACTTCATTTTATTGAAACGTATTGTGTGATTATTAGAGTACAGGCAGTTTTCATAACAGAACACAACCAGTAGCAACCATATCAGGAGGTAAACATTAGCACCCTGGAAAGCACACCTTGCTATGCACTTTTATTGATTAGTAAGCATCTAGCTGTTCCACAAAATATGTACATGAGGAAATTATTACTGGAAAGGAAAACTAGGTTGTAAAGAAGGTACTGTTTCTGAGCTACCACTAGTATAGTCCTAGTTAGGAAAAATGGGAAGTACAGGCAAATGGAACTGTGTAAATTATTCAAGTTCAATATAGGACAGTGTTAGAAAATAAGGCTGGAACCAAGCTACAAAGACTGTGTAAACCAAGCAATGGAAGAATATTGAAGTTTTGGGGCCGGGGATATGGCTCAGTGGAAAAAGCGCTTCCCTGGCAAGCACAAGGGTCTGAGTTCAATCCCCAGTTCCACACACACACACACACACACACACACACACACACACACACAAAAAGAATATTGAAGTTTTATGGATCTGTTATTCAGTTATTTATGTATTTATTTAATGTATTTAGTACAAGGTCTCACTGCACAGATCAGACTCAGTGATTCTCCTATTTGCAGCCTCCCAAGGGCTGAGATTACAGGTGGACAACCATGCCCATTCTCAGCTTGCTCCAAGGTTGGGGCCGTAACAGCATGCCAGGGATCCAACCCTGGTGGCTGGACTCTACCTAAGCAGGCGCTTTAGTCCACTGAGCTATCTGGCCAGCCCAGATCTGTTTTCAAGCATTCTTATTTATTTAGAAGAAAAATTTAAAATGTCTTTGTTTGTTTGTTTGTAGGCACACAAGTCTCTGAATTTTGTTTCAACCCTGCTCCAGATTACTATGTCAGAACAACTGGATTTACCTGTAAGACAGGCAGGCAAGTATCCTGAATTATTTTCTTGTATGCATATAAAGGTATTATTTGAAAAGTTTGTAAATTGAATAGCAGAACTACTTTGGGATAGATTTGCAATGATTTGTTTCCCAGAACCCATTTGCATTCAGTGTTTTGAACAAACAGTAAATATCTTGACAGTATGTGACAGAAATTATGGGAATAATTTCATACTGGATTTTGAAATTGGGAGGCCAGGGGTATAATTCAGTGGTACAGTGCCTGCCTGGCAAGAGCAAGGTCCTGAGTTCCAGTTCCGACATACACACGCAAAGAGAAAAACAAAAGAAATAAAAAGGATAAGTTTTATTGAGGTCTTAAATATTCTCAGCCAGGCATAGTGATGTGATGTGTAAGGGCAACCTGTAAATCCCAGCATTTTTGATGTTGAGGCAGGAGGATCACTCAAGTTGAGGCCAGTGTGGGCTAACTTTTTTATAATTAGCATAATGGGAATATTTTTGTATCATATCAATACAATACAGTAATTTTACTGGATTTTTTTTCCCCCCGGAACCGGGGATTGAACTCAGGCTACTGAGCCATCTCCCTGGCCCCAATTTTACTGGATTAAAGTCAGCAATAATTTATTTTCATTTGTAATTCAATAGGAAGTAGTCAGTTATTTGTATTTAAATGTTTTCATCTTTTTAAAAATATATTTGGTACAGTTGTCTCACTATGCAGCTCAGACTCCTGGTGATACTCCTGTTTTCAGCCTTCCTAGCCTTGGGATCACAGGTGTGTACCACCACGCCTGGTCTCAGTGCCTGCTGTGCTCAGGATCAGGGTCAGAGCTGCATGTGGTGCTGGGGATTGAATCTGGGTCTCAGGTGCTTAGCCCACTGTGCCATCTCACCTGGCCTTTTTTTTTTTTTTTTTTTTTTTTTTTTTTTTTTTTTTTTTTGTCTTTTTGAGACAGTCTCACTATGCAGTTGAAGCTGGCCTTGAGCTCACTTTGTAGCCCAGACTGGTCTCAAACTTCTAAGTATCCTCCTGTATCAGCCTACTAGTACAGGGATTACAGGCATGCACTACCATGCCTGGTGACAAAATTACGTTGTAGTAGTAGTGGTAGTACTAGTAGTAGTAGCAGCAGCAGTAGTAAACTGGAATATGTTAGTCTTATATATGGAGTTAACTTTTGAGGGATACCAGGAGTCAAACGCAGGCCCTCGTGCTGGCCTGGCAGGTGCTGTACTACTAAACTATGTTCCTGGCCCCGAGTTTTATCTTAATTTTCTTTTTATTTGTTTGTATATTTATTTATTTTGGCCTTTTTGAGACAGAGTTGCCCTATGCAGTTTAGACTGGCCTCGAACTCACTGTGTAGCCCAGGGTGGCCTTGGGGTTGGGGTGATCATCTTAACTCAGCCTCTGCAGTGTTGCGGTTATAGGCTTCTGCCACCACGCCCAGCTTCCACTTTTGTTGAAGGGTATTTTAATGCTAGTGCTTTTAAATTACTGTAAGGTGGGGGTACTAATTTAATTTTCAAGATAAAGTAAACTACAAGTATATAAATACTTGTTCTGTAAATCATCCTTGTTCAGATGGATGCATAACTTTAGGTAACACCCTTAAAGCTGGGAATGGTGGTGCAAGCAGTTTGGAAGGCTGAGATACAAGGGTTGTACCTTGAGGACAGCCTGGGCAATTTAGGGAGATCCTGCTTGGTTTTTGTTTCTGTCTTTTTGACCTGCTCTGTTTCCGACCTAGGCCAGTTCACCCCTCCTTAGGCAACCTGGTGATCCCCCGCTCCCGCGAGGTCACCATATTGATGCTGAACTTAGTTGCGGACACTGGATCGGCATAGCGCGCTGCAGGCCAGAACTCCTGGACTCAAGCGATCCTCCCACCTCAGCCTCCTGAGTAGCTGGGACTACAGGCATGCGCCACCACGTCCAGTGTTTCTGTCTTTTTGAGACAGGGCTTTACTATGTAGTTCAGAGTGGTCTTGAGCTCAATTAGTAGCCACGGCTGGCCTTGACCTCCCAGCAATCTTCCTTTGTGCTGGGATTATAAGTGTTCGCCACAAAGCCCAGCTCGGGAAGCCCTATTGTAAAAATGAAAAAAGAAAGGGCTGAGTGTAGCTCAGTTGGTAAAGCACTTTAGCATGTGCAAGACTCTGTAGTTAGTCTTCAGTCCTGCCAATTTAAAAAAAAGGGAAGAAGGAAGAAAGAAAAAAATGATTGAATTACAATCAGAGAAGAACCTGCATTTTATAGAATTTAGGAATTAATACATTTTTAATAATTACCGGGGCCCAGGAGATAGGTCAATAGAATAAGCACTTGCCTGGCAAGCACAAGGTCCTGAGTTCAATCCCCGGTACCACCAAAAAAAGAAAAAAAATCCCTTTGGATCACATCCCAAACTTTTGTTATCTGTGCCAAGAGAGCTAGATTTAAAATTTAATTCTTTTCGCTCTTCCGATCTTGCAGAACCGGGGATTGAACTCAGTCCCTTGCGCTTGCCAGGGAAGCGCTTATTACACTGAGCCATCTCCCCGGCCCCTTTAAAATTTAATTTATTTTATTTATTTTTAATGTATTTAGTACAGGATCTACAGGGTCTCACTACACAAATCAGACTCATAGTGATTTTCCTGTTTTCAGTCTTGCACGTGCTGGGATTACAGGTGGGCGTAACCACACCCAGTCTTAATCCCTGTCTCATTACTCCCCAGGAGCAGGGCCAGCATACACACAGGGGATCAAATCCCGGCCACTGTGTTCTGCCTATGCAGGTGTTTTAGTCTGCTGAGCTGTCTGGTTGGCCCTAGGTTTAAAATTTAAAACCTTTTTAGCAGTGTAGATTTTTGTTATGTCATCAGTTTGGTAACTTTGTCTTAGTGTGCCAAGGTAGCAGTATGGTAGCTGACAGAAAATAGTAATTTATAAATCTGGAACACAGGAAGTGATGCTGGGGATTGAACCCAGGGCTTTGTGCATATGAGGCAAGAATTCTGCCACTAAGCCACAGCTCCAGCCCAATATAACATTTGAGTGCTGTAAAATTGTAATACTAAAAACTAATAGATTTAGGAACCCTTAAGACACGATTTTCTTTTTTTTTTTTTTTTTTTTTTTTTAAGTTTTTTTTTTAAGTTTTTTTTGTGGCTGAACCGGGGATTGAACTCAGGCCCTTGCGCTTGCCAGGGAAGCGCTTATTCCACTGAGCGCTCTCCCCGGCCCCAAGACATGATTTTCTATAATGAATGCTGTTTACCTTTGTGTTGTAAAAACTACTTAATTGTAAAAACTTTTAGTGTGAGATAGTTTTGTTTTTAGGTTTTGTTTATAAAACCAATTTGATTAAGTTGATGTACCTTTCCAATAAAAACATAAGGCTGAGCATGGCGGTGTACATCAGTAATCCCAGTACATGGGAGGCTGAGGTAGGACAATGGCCATGAATTCAAAGACAGCCTGAACTGCATAGTGAAACTCTGCCTCAACAAAACAGTGTTATGAATCAAGATGATACAAAATTTTTTAAGTTTTGCAGTGTATTTATTTTGCAGAGTTCTTTTAGGTTATGTGTTTAGTGATTTTTGAGGGTGATAGCCATAACTATAAATTTGTGTTTTGTGTTAATTTGAAATAATTGAATTTAGTGTGTGCTTTACAAAACAAGGCTGAGAAACAGGAATCTGAAAGAAGTAAGTTTTGTCGCCGGGGAGATGGCTCAGTGGAATAAGTGCTTCCCTGGCAAGCACAAGGGGCTGAGTTCAATCCCCGGTTCCGCAAAAAAAAAAAAAAAGAAATAAGTTTTGTTTTGTTTTTGTTACAAGGTCTTGCTATGCAGTTCAGACTGTACTGGGGATTGAACTTGGGTCCTTATGCTTGCCAGGCAGGTGCTTAGAATGCTGAGCTATCTCCCAGCCCCTGAAAGAAATAGTTGATATCACAGAGCTTTCAGAATGAACATTCTTTTGTCAAACTGATTATATTTTAGGTGTTATCTATTTGAAAAACATGATAACACAATATTGGCCTGATCGGGAAACAACACCAGGGGATATATCTCCTTATACTATACCAGAGGAAGATAGACATTGCATTCGAGAAAATATTGTAGAAGCTATTATCCACTCTCCTGAGCTCATCAGGTATGTAGATTTTAAAAGTGTATCCATTGTTAAATGTAGTTTCCTTTTCTCTTTTCAATGTGTTTGGTACAGGGTCTCACTACACAACTTGGACTCCTAGTAACCCTCTTGTTTTCATCCTCCCCAGGGCTGGGATTATAGGGGTACACCACTACACCTGGACTCCTTTACAGGGTCAGGGTCCCTGGGTGGTGGGACTGGCTCAGCATGTGGTGCTGGGGATAGAACCTGGTCCCTATGCCAGCCCCACTGTTTTTTTGTTTGTTTGTTTGTTTGTTTTTTTAATGTATTTAGGACAGGGTCTCACTACACAGCTCATACTCTTAGTGGTTTTCCTGTTTTCAGCCTCCCAAGCACTGGAATTACAGGCATACACCACCATGCCCAGTCTCAGTCTCAGTGTGCCACAGGGGCAGGGACAGCATGGCAGGCTGGGGATCGAACCCTAGTCCCTGCATCTGCCTAAGTAGGCACTTTAGTCTTCTGAGCTATCTGGCTGGCCCTGCTATATTCTTTTTTATATGTTGTTGTGCTATGCCATGCCATGCTATGCTATTGTATGCTGTGTTATTGTTTGGTATCAGGAGTTGAACACAGCCTTGTGCTTGCCGGGAGGCACTTGTGCCACCGAGCTATATCCCTGGTTCCTCTATTTCTTTTCAAAAGTGCTTTCCTCCCTCTCTCCTCCACCCCCCATACCAGGAATCCAACTCAAGGTCTTGCACTTACTAGTCAGGCATTGGAGCCTGAACTACATTTCTAGCCCTGGGACTGTATTTATGCCTGTTTACTATTTAGTTTTGGGCTGGGAAGATGGCTCAGTGAAATAGTGCTTCCCTGGCAAGCGCAAGGGACTGAGTTCAATCCCCAGTTCCACAAAAAAACAAAAGAGACCTCATTGTATTTACTGGCCCAGAAGTTCTTTGACCCCCATCACTTAAGGAGTTTTAATGGAGGCTTCAGTACCACACAGGCCTTTTGATAAAATCTTTGCTCATTGGTGATTAGCTTAGTCTCTAGCCCCTCCCCTTTAACTATTTAGTTTTGACTTTCAGGGTACAGCTTACTACATGTATTCATCATATCATCAAACATGATTATCCCAGCCGTTGGACTGCCATTGTGGACAAGATTGGCTTTTATCTCCAGTCTGATAACAGTGCTTGTTGGCTAGGAATTCTCCTTTGTCTTTACCAGCTTGTGAAAAATTATGAGTAAGTGTCTCTCCCAATTCCTTTGAAGTTTTGAGAAGTAGAAAAAGTTTAATAATTTAAACCAATTTGAACATGTAAAATTACATTTAGCATAATGAAATTAGAGTAATATCTTTTAGTACTTTTTATCTTGATTTCTTGTTTGATTATACAGTTTTCTACTGATGCCCTATTTATCTTTAAATATTCACAAAGTTATCTGTAAAGATAGCTTTCTCACGTGATAGTAACCTTGGATAAGGTTTTAAAATTTAAAAAAATGTGGTTGGGGAGATAGCTCAGTTGGTTAAACACCTGCATGGCAAGCGGGAGGTCCTGAGTTCGATCCCTGGTATTTAAAAAAAAAAATATGAAGGTGATCAGTGTACGTTTAGCATTAGAGCTTTTTATTATATGAATTTTTAATCTTAATTTGGGTTCTTTTTAAATTTAAGAACCAGTGTCTACTTCATGTTTGTCTGTTTTTTCTTTTTTCTGTTTTTTGTATCTGCAGTTGAACTCAGGACCTTGTGCTTACCAGACAGGTGCTGTGACACTGAGCTGTATCTCTGGCCCTCTAATTCTTAATAATATGTTGAATTGTATATTATTGAATCTATGTGTGTGAGGGATTTATATTCTCTTATTGCATTTGTTCGTATTTGAGATTATAGTGTATGTAAGTAGTTAGTCTCCATAAGAAAGATTAGGCCAAGAATCATTTTAGACCTGGATTTAGGGATCAGAAAAAAAAAAAATCTTGAAGTTAAGGTATGGTACTAAGCCATATGATGAAGAGATTTTCCTTTAATTATGTGGTGACAGTAATGAAACTGGTAAGGTACCTTATGGTATGGTATGGAAAGTTATGAAGAAGGTATAAAGACTTTTTGGTGTGGTATTACAGTTCAAATCCAGGGGTCCACTACCACTAAGTTACATTCCCAGGACTTTTTATTTTTTATTTTGAAACAGTCTTCCTAAGTTGCAAAGGCAGAACTGAAATTTTGATCCTCCTTCCTCCACCTTCCTCAGGTGGTGACTTTATTCCAGTTCTAACAGCTACACAGATGACATTGTGAGCCCTCTTATTCTGTGGCTTGTAGTTAGCCTCTGATACCTTTTTTTTGGTCCTGTTTCAAAGTAGCTGATGAACTACTACTGCTGTTCTTAGCAGGAGAAAAATATATCATTTACAGCATTGGTACTGGTGTTTTCTTGTGTTCCCACCAGCTACCCATCTTCCTGCTAAGGAATGTTCCAGCTTTGCTCCAACCTCTGTCAGAGTGCCAGTTGTTGTAGTTCTGGTAAGTGAGTGACTGAAATCAGAGAGAATGACACTAAGCTGTCACTGTCATTGAGGAGTTCAAGTCTGTCTTGTTCTATGATTATACAGGAGATAACGAGAGAGGGAGATATAGGAGATTGCTACACTACTAGATTCCAGTTAATTTTTTGCTGGTGTCTGATTGTGGAGGACAAGGTATTCACAAGGGATCTGTTTGGACAGAAGGAGTTCTAAGCAAATTGATGAAGAAATTGGAATTTGGTGACCTTCAGAGAATAAACCATCAAGAAATGTTTGTCTGTTGAAGGGATATAGGAAAAATATTTGAAGAGGGAAGTATGCCATTTGTTACACCACACTGAGTAGTATAAACAAAGAACAGATGGAAATGAGCTGCCATTTTAAATGGATAATAAGGACATCAGTTACTAACTGATACATATTTTCTGGTGAGGTTGTGGATAATAGTTTGGAGTAGTAAATTTGGACCATTGTGAAGAGGTTTTTGAATAACAGAAATTTGAATGTGATCTTTTAGGTATTTTGGTTTTTTTTTTTTTTTCTTAAAGACAAAATGAGACAGAGTAGTACTTAAGGATTTATTAGTATGGATCACCAGTTTGACACATTGCAGCCTTGTGAGTGTAGACATTTATTACTATCACTTTTAATACTTTTGGAAATTTTCATGGCCTTGGCATAGTAATATATGAAGGGAGATAGAAGAAGAAATTCTAACAAAGAGTCAGTATTGAAACCCTCTATGAGCATCCCAGATGGATGAATGGAAAGAGTTGCATAACAGAATTCTGATCTTTATTATTAAAGGGGAATTTTGTTGATATTAAAGTTTGTATAAGCACATTGGAGATTGCATATATAGCTTTTTCTTTATGTAAGTTGCTATTGTTTTACTGACTTAAAAGTATGGATAATCCTTTAAAAATGTTTGTTAGGTATAATTTCTTACAGTGATGTTGATTGATTGTGTTAATAGCCTTACCAGTCATTATTAGTGTGAACATTTCTTGCTTTTTTGTGCTAGAGATCGAACTTAGGGGTTTATGTATTCTGGGCAAATTCTGTCCTGCTAAGTGACTTCCCTAGCTCTGAATGTCTGTGAATGTCTGTGCCTCCCCACTTCTCTCTCTTCCTTGGGATTGAACCCAGGGCTTTTGCAGTGAGGTATATTCCTATCCCTATTTTTTAGAGACAGGATTTCACTGAGTCTTTGGGGTATAGCTTGAATTTGTGATCCTTGGTATTTTTTATTCTTGACAATTTATGTTGGTTCTCATCTCACCCCAGCAGGAAAAACATTATACTTTTAAAAAGAATCTACCCTGTTATCTTTTTAAAATGTACTTACATATTTAATCCTTAAATATATGTTCTCTTAAAGATAGCACTAAGTAAAACTGAGATCTGCTTTGAAAGACAGTTTGAATAAGATTAGGATAAAATAAACATATTTCAAAAAACAAGTTGTGACGAAGGGGGAAGTTGTGACAATACTTTGATTTCTATGACCTATATTTGCAAATCTAGTCTGCCTGTTGACTCAATAATGGAAGCTGGAATTTTAGTTTCCATAATTGGAATTTATAAATTTGATTGAAAATAAAAAGCAGGCCTTTCACTAATACTGTTAAAGTGATGGGTAATATATAATGTAGAAATGCCCCAGGTCAGCAATTTTTTATCCATGCTTGGAATAAAATAGAAATACTAATTTTTTGTCCCTTTTTTCTGTATTTTAGGGAAGGGTCTACAGGGTGTTCAGGGTCTCACTACTACTGCCTAGTGGTCCACCTGTTTACAGCCCCTCAAGAGCTGGGTTTATAGGCTTACACCACCACACCTAGTTTCAGTTGCCATCTTAGGGTGCTCTGGGGGTAGATCCGGCCTGGCAGGCCCAGGGATCGAACCCCAGCCCCTGCGCCTGCTTGCAGGTGCTTTAATCCACTGAGCTATTTGGCCAGCCCACTTGGAATAAAATAGGAGTAAAATTTTTTTGTTTTGATTTTAGAAAGGTGGAAAGGTTCACATAATACATGTTGGTAACATTTCTATATTGAATTCTGTAGCATCGTCCAGTTATTCTATACATTCTTTTTTAACACATTCTGTGTACTGTAAAATATGTGACTATTGATCCCAAGTAGGAAAAATCAAGATGGTAAGCCTACCGATGATCATGTTTTGTCACTAGGTGGCTTATATTAGAACTTTTTTTTTTTTTTTTTTAATGTATGTATTTGGTATAGGGTCTCACTATGCAGCTTAGACTCTTAGTGATCCTGTTTTCAGCCTCCCCAGCACTGGGATTATAGACATATGCCAACACACCTGGTATATGTGGGCAGGTCAGTGTGCCCAGGGAGAAGGCCAGGGCTGGCATGACATATTGTGCCAAGGATTGAACCTGGGTCCCTGTGCTTGCCTAAGCAGGTGCTTAGTCTGCTCAGCTATCTCGCTGGCCCTAGAACTTCTGGTTTACAATGTTGTTTTTGTGTAATACATTTTGTTTATGAGACAAGACCTCACTGGCAAGTGCAAGGTCCTGAGTTCAATTCCCAGTGCAACATTGGCCTTAACTTAGGCCCTTATTGGCCTCAAACTTCTGATGATCCTCCAGCATCAGCCTCCCAAGTACTGAGATTACAGGCGTGTACCACCAGGGAAATTTATAATGCTTTTAGACAAAATATTTTCTCTTATAAATGCTGTATCTTAATGCTTTTGGCATATAAATTACTTAAAGATGGTAATATGTAATTAGTTTTATTTATTGAACAGCTGCACCTGCTAAAAGCCAGATCAGGACTAAGGATATAACTCAGTGGCACAACCACCTGCCTGGCAAGTGCAAGGTCCTCAGTTCAATTCCCAGTGCAACAACAACAACAACAACAACAAAAAACATGCCAGGTCATTGTAGCATTCTGTATTTGTGTCAGTATTCACAATTAAAAACTTCTTGAATGGCCAGCCAAATAGCTCAGCCCACTAAAGCGCTTGCTTAGGCAAATGCAGTAGCTGGCATAGGGTTCACCTCCCAGCCTGCTGTGCTGGCCCTGCCTCCAGGGTGTGCTGAGATAGCAGTTGAGACTGGGCAAGGTGGCACGCGCGTGTAATCCCAGCTCTTAGGAGGCTGAAAACAGACAGATCAGTATGAGTCCCATCTACGGAGTGAGTCCCTGTACACCCTGTAGACTCTTACTAAAATACAAAAAATAAAATAAGATAAATAAAGACTTCTTGGTTTAGCCAAGTGCGGTAGTGCACACTTCCCAGGACCAGAAGCTAAGGCATGAGGTTTGCTACAAGCTTGAGGCCACTCAGCCTACACAGTGAGTTTAAAGCCAGCCAGAACTGCATAAGAAGAAAGACCCTGTCTAAAAAAAGAAAGAGATTGCACAGTTAAATGGTTAAGAGCCCAGAGCTCAGGGGGACATGGCTCAGTAGAATAAGGGCCTGAGTTCAATCCCTGGTTCTGCCAAAAAAAAAAAAAAAAAAAAAAAACAACGAGCCCAGAGCTGGCTACTAACTGTGTAAGGTTAATACTTACATGTGTATAAAATGGGAAAATATTTAATTTCAGTGACACAGCTTTCTCAACTGTAAAAATAAATACTAGTAAGTGTCTTGAACATTACATAATAAATGTTCAGTGACTTAGATATTTTGTTATTTGGGCTTTTATTCAAGTTGTTTTGTTCAGCTAGGTGTGATGGTGCATGCCTGCAATTCCAGCACTTAGGAGGCTGAGGCAGGAAGATCCTCTACAAGTTGGACAGTCTGAACTACACAATGAGATCTTCTCTTCAAAAAAAAAAAAAAAAATCAAGTTGTTTTGTTTGTAAATTTGTTCTAGAGCAGTTTTATTTTCCCCTGAATTGATTGGAAAGTACTTACATTTGTGTGAACAGATAGTTTTTATGTATATATAAATGTGGAAATAAATTCTTACAGAATTAGTTTATATTCCTGACCATAGGTATAAGAAACCAGAGGAGCGGAGTCCTTTGGTAGCAGCAATGCAACATTTTCTGCCAGTTCTAAAGGATCGTTTTATCCAGCTTCTTTCGGATCAGTCAGATCAGTCTGTTCTCATCCAGAAACAGATATTCAAGATCTTCTATGCTCTTGTTCAGGTAATTTTTAAAACACATTTGATATATAAAAAGTCACCCCTCTGATCTCATTAAAAATGAAAGGTCAGGCATGATAGTGCACATCTATAATCCTATCCCTTGGGAGGCAAAGGTGAATCATGAGTTCAAGCCCATTCTAAACTACATACTGAGCCTCTTGTCTCAAAAAGAAAAAGTGTGTCTAAAAAAAAGAAAAAAAGTGTCTTTTTTAGCATGTGAATAATAAACTGCTGCAAAATAGATTAAATGGGTGATTTACTAGCAAAATAAAAGGATGCCAAAATTGTGTCAAGAAGCATACCTCCCTAAATACATTAATAACCCTAAGTTGTAAATGGGCAATCCAAAGTTTTTTAAACTGTTCACATCAAAATTAGTAAAACTTTCTTTTTGCTTTCTTGAGACAAGATCTTAGTATACTGTCCAGACTGATCTTAACCTCTTGGGTTCAAGTTATATTTCCATTTCAGGCGCCAAGTAACTGGTACTACATAGATGTACCATCATACTTAGGAAAAATTTTCTTACCTCCTTCATCTTAAGTAATCACTTTGTCTAGCTGTGCATGGGTGTAGCCTCAGGCAGTTGAAAAGCTGAGGCAGAAAGGTTGTTGAGACTGGACTTTTCAGCATAGGAAGATACCATCTCAAAAAAAAAAAAAAAAAAAAAACCAACAAAAACCCAGAAAAAAAGAACTCATGGGGCTGGGGAGATGGCTCAGTGGAATGTGTGCTTCCCTGGCAAGCGCAAGGGTCTGAGTTCAATCCCCAGTTCCACCAAAAAAAAAAGAAAAAAAAGAACTTAGTAATTTGGAAAGGAATTCATTACCATTAAAAACTAAAACCAAAAAAAAAACCTAAAACCTATTTTGATAATAATTTTTGATAATACATAAATTATTCCAATAAATAGCAAAGCCCATTCCTAAATTTGATATAAATACACTGATTCTCTGGGCTTTACACAATAATAACCTTTATCATTTTTACATAGTGTTTTTAATCTTTTCTAGAATAAAAGATAGCCACTAAGGAAATGATTCACTGTATTTTCAGTTGAGTTTGTGCTGGGATTTCAGGCTTGTACCACTACGCCCAGTCTCAATCGCCCTCTCAGCATGTCCCACAGGTGGGGCCTGTATGGCGTATTGGGATTGAACTCCCTTGCTGAGCCACCTAAGCAGGTGCTTCAGTCTACTGAGCTATCTGGCTTGCCCTAATCTTGTATTTCTTTGGTGCAGGTTGTATCACTATGCATCTCAGACTTGTAGTAATCCTCCTTTCTCAGCCTCCCCAGCACTAGGATTATAGGCATGGGCCACCACACCCAGTTTCAGTGTCTAGCTCGGGGCTGCACTGTAGGACCAGGGATCAAACTTAGATCATTGTGCTTGCTAGGCAGGGGCTTAGACCACCAAACTATCTCCCTACCCGAGTCTATAATTTATAAAACTGATTTTTTTGATTTAGAATATGGTCTTTTTGTACCATAAAGCCTTAGAAAGAATTGTTTCATACCATTGCTTTTTTTTTGTACCATTACTTTTACAGTGTTTTGTTGTTGTTTTTTCTTTCTTTTGTATTTAGTACAGGGTCTACAGGTTTCACTATGTAGATCAGAAGTAGTGATCCTCCTGTATTCATCGTCCCAAGAGCTGGGATTACAGGTGCGCACTACCACACCCAGTCTCAGTTGCCCTCTCAGTGCACCCCAGAGGTGGGGCCAGCACAGCACTACATGGATCAAACCCCAGCCTCTGCGCTCTGCCTAAGCAGGCGCTTTAGTCCACTGAGCTCTCTGGCCAGCCCTTTTATAGTGATATTTTTACATATATTTTAAGATACACTAATTATCTTCCGATTATCTAAATCTGAAGTCCCAGCACTCAGGAGGCTGAGGTAGGACTGTCAGGCCAGCCTAAGATGCATAATGAGACCTTGTCTCAAAAAGAATAGCCAGGCCAGGGATGTAGCTCAGTGGCGCAGCACCTGCCTAGCAAGTGCGAGGCCCAGAGTTCAATTCCTGGTACCAAAAAAGGAAAAAAATAGTAAAAATAAGACCAAAAAAAGTCCCTTTGGGGGGTGGGAAAACTTTAAAAAGAACAACAACAAAAAGGGGTGTGTGTGTGTGAGATATTGTATGATTCTGTGATTTTTTTTTTTTTTTAATATATGTGTGGTACAGGGTTACACTACACAGCTGGGGCTCATGGTGATCTCTTGTTCTCAGCCTCCCAGAGCTGGGGTTACAGGTGTGCCTGAGGGCAGGACCTGGCACAGCAGGTGGCCTGTAAGTGATTTGAATAGAGAGTAATCACATCTTTTTCCTAAACAGTAAAGTGAAAATTTTTAGATTAATCTCTTTTGGAAACTGTTATAGGACAAAATATTTACCTTCCTAAATCTTTTTTGAGATAGCACATCCTTTGAAAATAGATATCCCAGGGGCCGGGG